ACACTGAAAAATCTTAGTTTTCCTCACTAAAATCAGTTTCTAATAGAAATGTTAAAACCTTTTTATTTGGAGAAGGGGATTAAGATGGTAACAATATACAGCTCTGTTTAGTGTTTAGATAGATTAGAAGAGATAAATCTGGAAAATGTCCTTCCAGCAAGCATGAATAGGAGTACAATCTTGTCTTTTCTTATTTATGGTCAAGATTTAAAGACACTGATTTTTATGTTCTCATTTGTAGCTAAAAGGATGCATTTAAAATGATATTTTATTCCATTATTTTATAAAATTGCTTTCTTTGTGTATATTAAATTATTATAACCTAGTACCATTTAAGAGCATTACATCAGAAAATATGTTCACTATTCTCTGAAAAAATGAATAAAGTCTCTAAGACCACCTATGAAGTTTCTGGAAATGCTTAAATAATCTAGCTAGGGAAAACTTAGAAATGTATTGTTAAAAGATAATTTTAAAAAATAAAATCATGGTTTATACAAATATTAAGTGAACATATACTCAAGATTTTAACTCATTAATTAATGGGATGATCAGTAAAATGTTATAACTAGTTCAAAGATGAATTTAAAGAAAAATATATATGAGCAATAAGGAAAGCTGAAATGAATGTAGAAATAGATGCAAAACTGCTTCATCTACAAAGCAATAATGAGTTGCATTCCTCAGGACTCAATTCATTTGCATTTCTATAGCTAGGAGTCATTTGCATTATTATCAGTTTTACACAATTTATAAGATTATAAAATAACTCAAAGCAATGAAAGAGGCAACCAAGAAAGGCACACTAGGCAGAACATCCAGAAATCTTTTTTGCCCTTTTCAAAGTCTTTCCCAATTTTTCCTGATTGTATTAAAACTGTTCACATTGTTATCTTTCCACAAGCTTGCTCATTAAGCAAAAGCCACAAATTTTTTCTATTAAATTTTATGAGAAAATATCTGAAAAAAATAATTCAGGCTGGGCATGGTGGTTCATGCCTGTAATCCTAGAAATTTGGGAGCCCAAGGCAACAAGGTTGCTTGGGGCCAGGAGTTCAAGAACAGCCTGGGCAATATGTGCGACCCTGTCTCTACCAAAAAATAAAACAATTAGCCAGGTGTAGTGGCACATGCCTGTAGTCCTAGCTGCGTGGGAGCCTGATATGGAGGCATCACTTAAGCCCAAGAGTTTGAGGCTGTAGTGAGTTATGATCATGCCACTGCACTCTAGCCTGTGACACAGAGCAAGACCCTGTCTCAAAATAATAATAATAATTCAGTTAGACTCAAACTAATAATTTTAGGTCACCTATTAAGAACTATGATTCTAGGATGAGTAGAATATACTTCCTGCCATCAGAGAACTTTTCACCTATTGAGAGTAGCAAGGTCTGGTACGAAATATGCTATAAGTAAATTATAAAATTCTGAGTGAGTTTTGCAGAAGTTTTGACTTGAGAGGATTAAAGAATTTAATACTTAATAATATTAAACATTTGATATCATCACATAGGAATGAAGACATTTTCTTTTCTCTTATTATTTTTTTTTCAATTTATTTATGTTCTTTTTTTTAATTTCAGAATATTATGGGGATGCAAACATTTTGGTTACATATATTGCCTTTGCATAACCAAGCCAGAGCTACAAGACATTTGCTCAGACATTTTCTTACCATTCACATCTGATTTTCCTCATGTCTGACTCTTGGAACTCCTCTCCATGCAAGAAACCTAGTTGAGTATGTTGTGCTTTGTCTCAACACACAAACTTTTTTTTTTTCTTTTCTTTTTTTTTTTTTTAGATTATAATTTTATTTATTACAATTTTTTTCTTTTTTTTTTTTTCATGATTAGGGTATCCTTAGAAACACACAAACTTTTAATGCACAATTCAAGAGAGCCTACATAGAGAATGTCCTGATCCAAATTATCATGCTTTGAAAATGTAGTAAAAAAATCATAACTAAAAAAAAGAATGAAAAAAACATTTCCTATTGTAGGGGTAGAAGATGGGAAGCCCAGTTTGAAGGAAGCTGTGTGCAAACCTGGGGTCAGACAAGTGGAGGAAAAAAATGTTGAGTGTACTCTGAAAGAGTTTAGTAAAATTCAAGAGTTACTTAAAATAGTTTTCAGGATGCTACCGTAATCACTGAGTTCATTAGAATATATGCATATTTTCCTTGCTTTACAGAATTTTACTTTGCACATTAATATCAAAATTTATTATAGCAAACTTTGCCTATAACCATGTTTTTTTGTTTGTTTTTTTTTGAAATAAGGTTTGGAAATTTCCAATGTTCATTTTATTGAGCTCAAGGACTCACAAGGCAGTACATACAATAGATGAGTCCCATCTTACTTATCAGTAGAGACAGTTGTTTCTCTACTTCCAGGACTACTGAGAGATGTAGTTAGTAATAATAATTATAAGTAAAAACCTCTGCTTTATTAAGATGTGCTTCTGAGGGAAATTCTTTTATTTTAAGAAGCAAAGAGCTTCTTATTTGTCCCAGAAACCAAAAATCTAATACAGGCTGGTAAAATATCCTAAATACAATTGCTTAGAATCTCTTTGTCTGGCGTGTGATAAATTACCAAAATTAAATAAAATAACTGAGAAATTAATTTTGGCTTTTGTTAAACTAGTGAAAAACTTTAAAACAGTGAATTATGCATACTGATTAATTTATACACTTGCTTTTTAAAAATCCTGCAGTTTTAGTCTGTCGATTGTTGGCTGAGCATTATAGAGAGATTGGGTTTTATTTCTTATCCTGTCATTTCCTAACTGTGCAACTATCTTCTTGATCAGAAAGGGGCATCACTCTTAAATAAGATTTTTTTTAAAAAAATTATATTTTCCAATGTAAATAAGGCATGTGCCAGCAAGCAGTTCCTGGATAAAACTAGAAAGTCTAGGTGAAATAGCAGTAAATACAGGGATATATAGTTTTTAAAAAAGCCTTCCAACTGATTCAGATATGATTCCCTCTAATTAAAGAATTGGCTTAACATAATTACAATATTTTTTGAAATATATTTATGATGTGAATGAAATGCACAGTTTTTATGGCTCTTCTAGAAATATTAAAGTATAAATTGCCACCCTGTAATTGTGGATTATAAACTAATCGCTGATCACCTTCAGGTGAGCTACTAAGATTCAAACCTGTAGATTTGAGAACTCACAGCATCAAAGTAGAGTGGCCGGGGAACTGCTTTTCCTCCCACACATCGTAATCCACATTTCTGTTTAGAAGCAGACTGGACTCTTCCCTTGAAAAGCCTAGCTGTCTGATCAACCAGCCATCTCAAGCCAGAGATAGTCTTGGGCACACCACGCGGTCTTGAAGACCAAGTGACATCCCATCAGGGAAACTAGAAACTTTCTCTTGAAGTTCACTTGCCAGTTTAAAGTAAAAAGGGAGAAAAGGTCAATGATAGAAAACTAGTTTCTAAATATGTTGTTTTTGGGGGGGCACATTGTATATGCTGAAAAGTTAATGCTGTTTTTAAAGTTAATTCATGATAATTGAACTGAAGTGCTCTGAAAGTACTGTTGGAGTCTATTTATGAACCCAGTGCCCTCTTTGTCAATTCAGTAAAAGCACCGTTCAGTGAAAGAAAAGAGAGAGAGATGGCTGCATGGTGTGCACTTAGCCATATGTACGTCCTTTCCCCCTTAAAGTATCTGTTTTTCTAAGTGCTCTTTTTCTTTTAATCTGTCCACCTCATTGAGTCAGCAGGCCTGTGAGGCCCATTATCGCTCCACTTTGAGGACTGGGAAGGGCTGACAAATGTATTTTGGTAGTGATTCACTGTAAATCACTTTTGTTGCTCCGAGGTGTAGGTCAGTGCTGCAAGTATAGGTCAGCAGGAGGAGAATATGTGGGACAAGTGAATTAAATAAACTACGATTTGAATGACCACATTGACAACTATTTTAAATAAATATAATGTCCAGTCTTTGTTAGAATGTAGGATATATTAATCATTTTCATGAGTGCTGCTGGGAGTCAGTCTTTTATATGAAGTCATTACACTTTTACCCAGCAATTCTATTTTATAATGGCAAAAAGTTGGTAACACCTTTATCTTCAACAATAGCAGGTTAATTGAAATTGAATTGCACTTTATTCAAATTATGGAAAACTAAGTAGACATTTAAATGGCGATGTTAAGTAATATCTAATTTACATGGAATACTCTCCAATAAATTAAGTGAAAAAAGGAGACTATAAGATTATATTTTTTGTTTAAAAAAAGTATTTCTCTATATGAAAGAAAAAAGACTACCATAATATGCATATAAATAACATTAGTAGTATTTTTTCTGGTGATGGTATTATTCATGTTTCTTATTATGTCTTCTCCTAATTATCTTTAATAAATATGAACAATAAGAGATTATAATAAAGTTATAAGAAAACTAAAATAACTAAATTTTTAAAAAGTGTATGTGTATGTCAAAGAAGTCATACTTGTAAACAAAAAAGAAATTAGAGAGTGAGAAAGTCTTATTTCAGTAATTTCTAATTAATTACCTGGCTATATTACATTTTTCCTAAGAATTGAGGCTTCTAGAATCCTCTTTAAAAATAAAACCATATTGAAGAAGAAACATATAGTGACCATGAGTATGTAGTTGTGAAAAAGACATAAAGACCTCAGCAATGTGTAAAGACTTAAGAAATAATTGAAGACCATGATGTCTTTTTTTTCTTCTTCTTCTCTTTTGTCTCCTCCTTCTTCACCTTCTCCTTCTTCTTCTTCTTTTCCTTCTCCTTCTCCTTCGACAAGGTCTAGCTCTGTTGTCCAGGATAGAGTGCATGGCATCATCATCACAGCTCATTACACCCTCAAACTCCTAAGCTCAAACTATCCTGCCTCAGCCTCCCCAGTAGCTGGGACTACAGGTGTGTGCTACCATGCCTGGCTAATTTTTGTATTTTTCATACAGATGGGATCTTGCTGTGTTGCTCAGGCTGGTCTCGAACTCCTGGAGTCAAGCAATCCTCCCACCTTGGCCTCCAAGTGCTAGGATTATAGATATGAGCTACCATGCTTGGTTGATGGCTTATCATTCTGAAAATAAGACCAGAAAGTAATTGTTTGGAAGTAATAAATGAAGGTGTATTACTGTATGTAAAACTATGTTTTGGAATATTTGTAATACAAAATGTTTGTGATATAAAATATTTCATGTACTAACAAAAAGTTGTGGAAACAAATATCACTTTATCTTATGGGGGGAGTTTGAAAGTTCCACATACTAGAATTGCCTAAATTTTTTTGCAGCACTGTCTATATAACAGTGGATAGTCTGGGAGTATTAGGATGGTGGTAATGGAAAGAATAGGAAGTCAGAATGGCTTTCTATTTACCTTGTTGGTCTGTGTGATCTCTTTGGACCTTGGTTTTCTAATCTGCAAACTGGAGAAAATAATAATAAATACCAATTAAAGTTGTTAAATAAAGAGCATATTTAAAGTACCCAGGAAAATGATTGCCAAATAACAGTGATTCAATGAATATTAGCTCTATATTTGAATTTGGAGTCTCCCTTGGTGATTCAAATTTAATTATTGAAAAGGCTAATGGCTTCAAAATTAGCCACTTTAGAGAGTGAATTCACAGCCAGGAGAAAAACTCAAGCAGTTATTCTTTCACAGAACTCCATGAACAGGTCCTGGGCTAATTTATTCAATTTAGTACCAAAGGGCTGTGGAACAGTGCGTTTTCAAATTTCTATCATTTGTTTGGGTTCATATTTGACTTTGATAAGTTCACAAATGCAGATTCTTTTAGCTAGAACAAGTGGGTTTTGATCATAGGTATTTCATATTTAGTAGGTTAACTTGATTGGCAGCCATTCTGAGGGAGAGATTCAGAAGCAGAATAACAAGTCTGTGGCAGTTAAAGACTGAACTACTGAATACAAAATTAGGCTAGAATTTCGTCATCATGACATCTATTTGACTTCCATAATCATTAACTCAAGAAAAAATCATGGCTCTCTTTTCAAAAGAATAACTGTTGTGGGGGAGAAGAAGTGCTAAAACAGCTTTATGAAACTACATTCTGAGGTGGTGTACAAAACGACACTCTTTCTGAAATGTAATTCACCTTTAAACTATTCAGAAGAGCCTGAATGGTCATTGCTACCTGGGTCTTTATCCAAAAGTTCGGCGATGGGGGCGGCATCTGGACTTAATGTCATTAGTGCCACATCCTGGTTGTCTAAGACATGGATGTGAGGGCCTCTTCTGGGTACAAGGATCCAAAGGTTTCATTCAGTTTAGGAAAGTGGAGTGTTATTGGTTTACAGTCTTACTTCTTCAAATCTATTTTGTTTATAAATTATTGCAGCCTAGATTTTCTTTTACCTGTTTCCAAGTCACAATAATTCTGAAGTGATCATTTCACTAGCCATGACAAAAATGTTCCCCAAAGCTCTCAGGCTAAAAACAAAAGAATTCTATAATTGTAAAAAGCTTTAAACATTTGAATTTGGTCTGGGAAAAGAACACTGTGTAATCTGTATTTTTCAGACTTGTAAAGCACACAGAAATGGATAGCATTGGACATATGGAGTTGTTCATTTTGCAGAATACTTGTGATCAGATGTTCTTAAATAACAGGATGAAGAACACATGCTTAATTAGCTCAATTGTCTGTGGATAACTGGGTTGATGCTCAACTTTTCTTTCAGTTTCAAGTTTAGGATGCTACATAATACTTGTACATTCTGCTTTAATAAAATTCTCTAGCCTTACTGAAATCCTGCCATCGTCCTTCAAAATATTTCTATTCAGGAACACTATTATCACTTTAAGTTACAGCCAGATCTTAAACTACAATTTTATGGGCTATATTTTGAAGATATGTACTCTACAATTCTTATTCAATCATGAGCACATTTTCCCATTACCTTTTTTTTTTTTTTTTTAAATAGCCTTTAAGAGTAGACCTAATAGTGTATTTCTTTTGGTCATCTAGTTCTTGAATGGCTGTTTTAGTTGTCATAAAGTCAAATGCTTATGGTGTCAGCAGTAGAAAGAGGTGATAACTGTAATGAATTAGAAATTGTGGGCTTCAAAGTGTGCAGCTATGACTCAGCTCCTGGGGATTGTTGCAATGCAGCCCCAGGGGCCTAATGTGTGCACGTGTATTTGTTTCTCATGGCTGCTATAACGAATTACCACCACCTTATTGGTTAAAAACACCACCAATTTATTATCTTATAGTTCTGGAGGTGAGAAGTCTGAAATGGGTCTCACTGGGCTAAAACCAAGGTGTTGGCAGGGCTAGAAAAAAGGGAATTTAAAAGATAATTGAAAGACATTGTGATTAGATGAAGCAAGACTATCAGCAGTGAGGACAGGAAAGAACATTTCGACAGAGGTGGCTGGTCTTGCTGTGTATTAGGAGGGACCAAACTGAGGATAATTTACTTGATAAAATAGACCTGTTAACACACAGATTCCAAGGTCTTATTTAGAGTTTTGCTTTATTTTGAGAAGCAATAAATTGTTAAACTAAGTTCTTGAGCCAGAGAAATAGGTGGATATAGTGCTGGAAGTTATTTTAGAATGATCCTAACCAAGAAGAAAGCATGAAGAATAGAAAGATGACTGTTTTGTTATCCACGTGTGCAATAATGAGACACCTAGACTAGGGTGCTCATTATAGGTTGAAACAATTCTGAAAGACGTTATGAAGAGGGATCAGCAAGCCTTAGTGAGTCAATGGCTACAAGGAGCTAATGACATAAAGGTACTAATAAGCTTTCAAACAGGGAGACTAAGAAAACATTGGAATCACTGGCTGAGGTGTATAGATTTGGGTAATTAACACCATTGAATTTAACGTATTTTTTTTGTTCAAGAATAAAAAGCTTGGGGCCAAGGACCAAGTTTTAAGAGATGCCTATATTAGAGTAGTAGGAAATAGTAACAGAATAAAAGGGGAAGGAAGAGTGGGACCATCATAACACAGTGACCCAACACCCTAGAGAAGACGGAGTTTTAGGATAGAAAAAGGATTTTATAATAGTAAATACATGTTTGTGCAGTGTGAAAAATGCTTGGCTTATATGGATGTAGAGAGAGAAAGATAAAAAAAAAAAACTCATTCAAAAGAGTTAGTATTGGAATTTGAGACATAAATTAAATGTAAGTTGAGAGTATGAATTTCAAGGTTTTTCAGCTTTGAAGTGCTTGCAAGATAGAAAAAAAGAAATAGAAGAGTGGGGAGCAATGTTCCTGAAGAGTTGGGTGCAGTAGACACCTTTGAAGGTCTATCATGTCACAGTCTCATCTGTAAGATGTACTCATTTTACTCTCAGTTGAGCCAGGAACCCGCCTTTTGAATCTGTGACCTTACCCTATTGACTCCAACAGGTTTTCAGTGGGATGGGCTGAGCTGACTCAACCTAAGACAATCAGAATCTTTTTTCTGGCAATTTCTTATTGAGCCTGAGAAATATGTCATTTATTTCTATGGGTGACATGAAATGAAGACATGTGAACTCAGGCTCTGAATGCACCATGTGCATGTCCGTCATAGCAGTAAGAATCAGTGACGAGACAGGAGGACAGAGAGAAAGTTCTGAGAGAGGCAAAAAGAAAGCGGAAGCAGACAGACAGGAAGGGACAGAAAGAGGCAGACATTCCCCATTTCTGCTGGCTTTCCTGTTACTGCTTTGAGCACCTTCTGAGTTTTTTCTCTTGCCCTAGATTTCTATGATTATCTCATTACTTTCTCTGGACCTTTCCTTCTTTTCTTAAATAAGGTTGAAGTAATTCTGTCATTTTTTAATCAAAAGTGTAATGAATAAGACACTAGGAAAAGTTAAATCTAGAATACTGGCTGACATTTTGAGGACATCTCGTCCTTAAATAATAGGAAAATGGAGAGAATTGGTGTAATGAATGATCTGGAAAACCAAAAAACCAATAGTGGTACTTTGGAAGGCTCATGTTCTTTACTCTGTGATTAGTTCAAGACTCTGTTTAGATGATACTTTTTCTGAGTATACATTTTCTTATACTGAGTATAAGTGAGTATACTTTTTTTATATACCACTACTCTAGTGAAGGTGCCCCTTTAATATGTTCCTTCCAACATATTGCTGTGAACATCCCCTATCACAGCACTTGCTATGCTGTATTTAAATTGTTGTTATACTTATCTGTAACAGCCTCTAGACTTTAGTTCTGTGGAGTCAGGGATCATGTATATTTGTAGTTCATATCTTCCCAGTGGAGACCAATGCTTGTCCATTTGGCACAATATAAGTAAAGCCTCTTTTGATTAAAACAGCTGTTTAAAGTTTAAAGTAGAAATTTAAAGTTGATTCTCGCAACATCATGAGAACATGCCTAAAGACTGTAAATATGTTGTTTAATTTGTTACTACAATTATGAAGTGTTTAAAATGTATTTAGATATTTATTTTGGGAAGTTGATAATTTCTTTAACTATTAATAATAATTACTTCCCAAAGCAATCTCAAATGTTATTACATGATTATTTTAGGGGTCTATATCTTCTAAATACAAATATGGAGGATGAAGGAAAAAAACAGAAGGTCCCTAATAATTTGTGATTTGCTTTAGTAAAAATATTTTTAATAAGAAGTATGATGTGCAGTTAGGCGAAAATAAAATAAGAACCAGTCTCCAGGTGGAGAACACAGACATCCTATAAACTGGTTCTTAAAATAAGAACCAGTCTCCAGGGAGAGAACACAGGCATATTATAAAATGAGTTAGGCACATGACTAGTCTCCACTACTAGATTTTAGCTTTGCAAGCTTTAGAACAAAAAGATTTTCCAAGCAGGTCTCTAAGCTCATTGCTACAACAAGTGAAACTCACCCCTCTGATGATCTCAAAGTGAAGAAACTGGTGTGTGGCTCTTCACAATAAGGCCAGAGACCTTTGATAGTAAGAAGAAAGTGTAGTGGTAATGTTACTATGGACATAGTTCAAGTGTAGCACAGATTTTTTTTTTTGATTGTTAAGCTATAAAAGAGATGGCAACCTTTACCATTTTTCCAAGGTTTTATTATATATTAGACCCCATGCTATAGAGCTGAGACAAATTTGCCATCCCATGAGAATTAATTTTAGCACAATTGACTCAAGTGTTGGAAAATAGTTTTGAAGATGCAAAATTTTTGTTCTTAAAATAAGAACCAGACATTTATTCATTTATGCCCACACCTTGCTTTATCTTTACCCTACACAGAAAAGCAGCCAACGTGTAAGGGGGAGGCTACCACGTCGTTCACGTCAGAGTTGGCAGGTGTGTCAGATTGTCAGTCCTTGGTCTTCCTGCACACACACAAGCTAACTCAATCAATTTTTTTTCTTTCATTGAAACCCATTCCATCATCGTCTGAACATATTGATCTTCAGTCATGCACATACTCATCATACTCTTCATGGTGTTTCTGCCTGCAGGCCTCTCCTTCTCATTATTTTTGTATTGGTCACTCTGTACTCACAGCTGATACCAATCACACATCTTACAAGTGCATTTCAAAGGCATTGGGCTTCTAGTGTTTCAGTCACAGGAAAATAACACTGGCTCTCTGCTTTGTACCTGCAGTACTGATTCACTTAGCTGATTTAATTTGACTGCTAGTCAAAATTAAAAAACAATTTATAAAAGCACATGCATTTTCAACTCCTCTCTATGTTCCCTTTTCGCCCTATACACAAGAAAAGAGAAGAGTTTCTTTGTGTGAAAAGAGAAGAGTTTCACACAAAGAATACATAGAACAATTGCACTACCTAAAAAAGAAAGGATCAATATTAATCACGACCTGCAGTCATACTACCTTTGGCTATGATTATCTCAGAGTTCCTGAGAGGGGCTCATCTGGTTGCATTTTTTTCAAGGAGGACCCTGTGGGAGAGCTAAGAGGTGGTCAGAAGCACATCCAGGGATTCTGTTTGTGACACTGCATTCTTGCAATTCTGCAACCCTGCCTTTCTTGAGAAGATTATGTATGCCCACTGGATTGCTAGTAGAAATTCTCACAAGATTGTTACTCATCTACTGTGATCGGGGTGGATTGCTTCTACCTCACCTACTAGATAGATTCTTTAAAACATTAGGTCCAAGTTGATTCAAGAAAAATTATAGCAACAATAATAGTTAAACCTGATTGAAATGTTATGATGCATCTACTGTGCAGCCTGCTTCATCTCACTAAATCTTCAATAATGTAAATTAGCTTCTATCTACATACCACAGTATGTAGGAAGTTGAGGCTTAGGAAAATTAGGACTCATATTTCATCAATTTTGAGATGTACATTTTTAACATCTCTAAAGTTGAGCTGCATCTTACTATTGATGCATTTTATGAAGATAACTGGCAGATTTTTTTTTTTCCTGAGTGACAGATAAAATACTAGTGTATCTTACATTCAATGGTGGTTTAAATTTCACAGAATATAGTACCTTGTCCAAGGACATCCAGTTAGTATGTAGCAGGACGAACTGGAAATCACATGCTATGTCCTGAAACATACTTCCAAAAAAGGAAAACTAGAAAGTAGATGGAGGTGCCCTCACTCATTAGACGTAGAATGTTCTTACTGAAGTTATGACATTCTTTCCACTGGATAAGTTGATATTGATGAAGAATTTCAAACAACCTTTGCTATCTGGCCCCAGTTTTTAGGGAGTGCAATTATGCAGGTTAAAGGAAGCTATCTCAGTGGCACTGCAGGGAGAGAATAACCTTGGAAATTTCTTTCCATTTTCACTTCTGATTCTCAAATATGTTATGAATACAGGAGAGAAACTTCAAGTCTCTTGCATTCTCTTTATTTTTAGAATCGTGTATTCTCTGAACTTTTTCTATACTGTCTTCTCTCGTCCTGAGCAGTCCTTGAATATACAGGTTATCCTTCAAGGAATTATAACCTAATTAATCAAAGACAAGGGCAGCCATCTCTTTGCTTAGGGACTGATAGTTTTCTATTCTGTATTAGGTAGTGCGTCTCAGAAGGCATTTATCTTTCTTTACTTGCCATTCACATTGAGGAGTGAGAAAAGCAATAAATGGTTTCTCCCCTTCTCAGTGTTTTAGCATCCTTTGTATGGCTTCTCATGTTCCCTTGCCTCCTGTTTTAGTAGCACTTCAGCATGTCTGCCAGTCTGTTTTAGAGACAGTTTATTGGCTGTGATACTGAGAAACATGCAACTTATGTTTCTTAACTTTTTTCCTACTTTTTTTCCTTTCCAAATTAATACCACAAATGGCAACCATTTAAAAAATGGGAACTTATCAAGAGAACTGGAAAAAAATAATCATCCAATTCATATTTCTGTAATGCAATGTTAATGAAATATTTCACTATGCTGAAACCTCAATTAAACACTGGCCTGACAAGTAAAACCATCTTGTAATGAGTATTTTTAAGTTGCAAAAACTCTTGAAATGTTTCCAAAGAGAATTTACTTCATCTTAGGGTAAATTATATACATAGTTCCAAATACTTAACACTCTCTCTATCAAAGATAGATCTTACTTTAGTTGTGATATCAAAGTTCTTATTGACCTTTGATATAAATACTAATCTTGGGAATTTTTATGTAACTGGGTCATTTTCTTACAAGATGGATATTTTTAAAATTAGAAATTAGTTGGCAAATTCTAGTACTTTGATAACAGCTTTTTAAATCACAAGATTCTTTTTTTATGATTTAGTTTTAGACTTTTAAAAATGGTTACCCAACCTTCCCACCTATTCTTTGCCTGGGATTATTTCTTTTCATCCAGATTATAAAAAGATAAAGGTCAAACTCCCATTTGAAAAGAATTTGTAAGCTTCCAAACAGGAGAAGTTATTCCTTGATTCATTTTCCTTCTGCCTGCTTGGTGCTTTCTCATTACTTGTCTGCCATACAGTTAATGCACATCAGTTTTGTTTTGTCATCTCTGCTGAGAAATATGATTGAATGCTTAATCCAATTTTATGCTATTAACTAACACATCACACATACATAAATGGAACAAAATGCTACTGAATATAGACTCGGTGTAAGCATCACTCCTTCAGAAACAAAGATGACTAGGGCCATCTACATAATTTTGGGGATCAAGTGGAAAAAAAAAAAGTAAGCCTCCAGCTGGATGTGAGAAAGTCAATCTCCTCTTCCCACAGTTGGTAGACAGGTGATTTCCAAGGGATTCCAATTTATGGCACTAGATACTTGGATTTGGGGTTGGGCAAGAATTGACTACGGGGTGCATCATGGGACTAGCAGCTCACCTGAGTGCTGATGCATACCCGATTAACCTTCCTGCACCTTCACCTAGGTCACCCAAGTCCCACATTCTCCATTAGTTCTAGCTGCTGCCATATTAGACACAGGTTGGCAGTGGTAGAGGGCTGGAAGCAGGGCTGGAAGCAAGAGGGGAGAACCCAGGCAGGGGAGGTGAGGCATGTTGTGGCGTGGAACTCCAAGCTTCTGGTGCATACTCCATTGGCCCACTGGTCTTCAACTTACAAAGCACAAACTCGAAGATAAAAATGATTAAGAATTTCAAAGTGGTGTTGTTCAGAGCAAAGCATTAAACCCACCAGCAACTGCACTGCTTGCATGTCCATGAAGCCATCCCTAAAGATGGCTTTGTATTCTATTATGAACCACATACTTCACTTACTGTATTTTTTCCTTAATGTTTGAAATATTTATTTACAAACACTTCTCCCCACTAGATTATGAGCTATAGAGCAGTGTGGTAGATGGAGTGGTATCTTTCTTGGAATTTCTAATATATTTTTGTAGCTGCTATACTGCACATAATAGGCTTATTGATTGGACAACCACAATAAACAAAAATATGTGACTCAAGGAATATTACTTACACCCTATTTTCTGGTTTATGTAATTCAATAATGGGACAATTAGATATATAATTTACAAATATCTGTTTAAGTATTATATCACTTTTCAGGTCTCAAGGCCCTGAAAGAGTAAAGAAGTTGATTATTGTCACCTGAGGGTTATGCTGTGCTGTAAGTCAGTGGCTTTCAACCCTTATTGCAGGTTGCAGACACAATCACCTGGGAATGATTTTATAAACATTATGCATGGGTTCTTCACTCAGAGATTCTGATTTAATTGACTAGGAGGTGAGTGCCTTATCATTATTGCTCTTTACTAGTTCAGAGGAAGAGAGGAGAATGAGGGAAGTGGTTGTTGACAGCTTGGGCAGTCAACTGGAGTCCCTACACATGTCCTCTTCGTGGGGACTGGCCTTCCCAGAGCCTGACAGCTGTGTTCCAAGAGGTCATTTCCCAAGAGCAAATGTTGCAGGAGGTCCAGGAGAAGCTGCGAGATTTCCTGTGACCTAGCATTAGAAATTCCAAAGCATTCCTTCTGTCACATTTTATTTGTCAAGCAAGTCACTAAGGCCAACCCAAATACACGAGGAGAGGAATTAGGTTCCACCTCTTGTTGGTGGAATGTCAAGATCACATTAGAGAAAAATATATGAGATATAAAATATTGTTGCAGTTATCTTTGAAAAATATAATCTATGACAAATCGTTATGGACTCTTTAAAGTCATTTTAGGTGGAACTACAATATTAAGAAAATTTTTAAAAGTCAAAGAAATAGCTCAAGGTGTATTTTGTTCCCATTATTTTTTTCAATTCACAAACTAGGCTTTTAAGAGTTACTAGCCTGTGAATTCTAACTCTGATTGTAAAAAAGTCCATTTTTTAGAATTTTTTGTGATGACAGAAGTACATTGCTGAGTTAAAAAAAAAAAGGAAAGCAATGATAAATTAAGTAGCAAAATCCCTTTATGCTACTACATTTTCCTTCTTAGGCCTATTTCAATAAAGGCAACATAAAATCTGGGATTTGGAGGGACATTCAGTCCAACTCTCTAATACTATATTTG